TTAACGTGTACCTTCATTTATGTACACAGGCCTCAGGCATTTTTGCCTCCCTCGCAAATGCGGCCGCTACAACCGGGACACGATTCCGTGACTTGACAGACAAATGATGCTCATCTTGAATTGATGCAAGAAGAAATTCCTTTTTATTCTTCTGTAACCAAAGACGCGAGTTATTTCCTCGTAACTATCATTTCTCGTGTACCGGTGAACACCGCAGTTTCGCAAAGATTTTTCTTGTCTGAGGGATATTTTTCAATGAGAACGCCGGTATAACTTTAATCCCTTCTTGTAAATGTTTTATTTGTGTACGCACATAGTTTTCATTTGTCAATAAACTCACTACATTCCTTCCGTAGTATTTTAATGGCTCCGCTCCAGGCTTTAGAATAACGATATAGATAACTGCCCATGCTTCATCTCTGTTAACTCAAGTACTTGAAGGACTGCTCATAAACCCCATCGAAAACGGCTCATGCATGACCCGACCTGCTTAGCGTATCCGTCGTTTTCTTGATAGATGTGATGCGCTTAACATCTCTAATTGGGTGCATTGTGGTAAAAGCTGGAGGTCGTGCAGCAGCAAATATCAGTAGCGATGGACATACTCGATGACGCAATTACGCTGCAGTCTCGCACGAAAATGTGTTCTTCTTCTGCTGACTATAAACGGAAAAACCATTACTTCAGTTTCTTTTCTCGTGTACCATGTACGCCTGACCTGCTTGTTAAAGCACGCGATTTCGTAAAAGTGAAGTATATAGCGTAAAATATGCAAGCTTAGAGCAAAGCAAGTTTACGTATTATATATCATCGCACATCACAAGCATTACAGTAACTTTTGTGTAGAGTTGATTTCGCGCTTTCATTCATGGACATAACTACCTGCCTTTTAACTTCAATAGTTGAAGAGTTCTCTCTGTAAACTAGTGAGAAACCAGTGGCATCTCCATGACGTACTAAATATACGCGACCTGTTCACGTTCGCACAGCTTTCGCATCACTGCATGAAACTAATGAGCAGACGGTGCGTAGTCCATAATCGGGCGAGAGCGGCCCCAAGAGCTGATGGTGACGTGCTTGGTAATGAATGATTCGATTCCGTCCCTAAGCTCCGCTAATTGCTGATCGAGACCACGCTTGTCCAGAGCCCGCTGAATGGGCCTCCTGCAGGGTACGATAAGCGATTACCGGTTCGCCCGTCCTGGTTCGGCGTTTAAGCTCCCAAACAAATCGCTTTTTGGGCGCCAACCGGAAATTTGAACGTGTTAGCATTGGGGATTACTTGGCGCGATAATAGTTAATAAGCGTTATCTTCTGGACGCATCAGGTATAGTGGTACACACGCTCTTGTAGGTACCCTTAGCAGAATCTCTCTCTGTCTCTTCCTCTCATCATTTTTTTTCTTTTGTGGCAGTGAGTTGGTGACCTGGCTGAGTGAAAATGAAAATACACAGCAAAAGAGTGTGGCGAAATAATAATAATAATGATATAATAATAAATAATAATAATAGTTCTGATGTTTTTTTTTTCACTACGCGAAAGCCAAGAGCTATAAAGACAAAAGCAATCGCATTGATTTAGGTTAGCTTGCGACACTCTCCTAGCGGCCTGCGGCACTGCGCAAAAGTTTGCATGACGTTCTGCTGCTGCTGATAATGAAGATGATGGCCTATTAAGTTGTCTTAGAAGATTGGTCTTATTCATGGCAGCACAGTTGCTTATAATATTTCTAATAATATGGAGCCTTATAGTTTTTCTCTTTCCTCAATACTACTTTAAAAAATATTGTGACGGTGAAGGGGCATCTAGTGCTAGAACTGCGAGTGAAAATCGCAACTCGTTGTGACATATGACTTACGCATTCATAAGTAATCTCTACAGTGCTGGAGCATATTCTACAAGTGCACAACTGTATTTGCGGGTAGCATGCTAGGGTATCAGACATGGATGTCAAGAATACTGTGTAAAGAAGAGCATCGTGTGTAGCGATTACTTGATAACATGATAGTTCAGCGCACACTAGTGCCATTAAGAATAAAGCAATGAAATTGAGCAAAATTATAACAACCTCAATAACTATTAAGCGAACCATGAAAATCATTCTATGCGAATTTCCTGCAATTCGGGAGCGATACTACAAGTATTCACTATAGCGCAGCTGCTAAGAACCTTTTGGTGTATGCGTTAAAGCGAATGCTATAGTGCACAGCGCAGTGAATAAATGATCAAAGCAGGGGTGCGGCACAGTTTAGGCTTGAAATATGCAACATGGCGCGAGCAGCTCGTCACAGTTAGAGCCTTTTTTACGACCGACTACATGGCTCGTGAAACCTCCCGTATTTTAGTGGATTGATGTGAACGAGAGCGCTCATGTATTACGAGTAATGTGCGTACACAGGCATTTCGGAATACGTTATGCAGTTAACCCCTGTAGAAGGCGTCCATTCACCTCCAGCCATATCTTAGCATCAAGTTATCAAGTTACTCGTAAAAATAATCATGACGCCCACCTAGTAGGTATAATAGTAGTACTTCAGGGTATTTATTTTACAGAGAAAGCACTTTCTCCTGGATAGGTAGCATGTATTCACTCCAGCACGAATCACAACTCGAAGATGTCGCCGACAAAAAAAAAAAAAGATATTCTTTACATTTCGTACTTTTATGCACAAAGAGAAGCGGTGATCTTCACCGAGACACAGAGAAGGCGTTGACCGCGAACAACAACTTGGAAACAGCAGCAACAAAATATATAAAAAATAAAGCAGGATTACTTGGGAACACGGTTACCGCACTGCAAGTGACGTGCGCGCATGTGCGTCCGCGAGTGCGTGCTCATGTGACATCATTTTTTTTTTGCCTCATGATAATTTTTTTTACTTCCCGCCACTCACTGTTCGCGTCCACCTTTGGGCAGCTCGACCAAACACGCCCCTGTCTTTGTGAAAAAAAAAGAAAAAAAAAAGCTCGGCCACGCTGTTCAATCTCCCAAAGTGAAGCTCCAAGGACGGCGCGTCATGTCGACAACGCCTAAACAAGAATTTTATTTTTGTTTCCCTCCTCTCTACGGCCTCTAAATAAGTCGAGCTCGTACAGGGAGCACATATAAAGCGGGAATGCGTGGAGCACGACGCCGTTCTATGTCGTAGCTGCGCAGCATGTAATAACGGTAGCCGAGAGGCGCCGTCGCGTGTTGCTTCACCTTCAGCCTCGTGGGCTCGTCACTCCGGGATTCTTTATGAAGCGACAGGAGACACGCGCTGGGACTCTCATGTCGAGTAATTAATTTATAATTACGCGTGTTACCAGGGAGATACTGATTGAAGCGAGATGCTCTGGCCTGCGGCACGTTTTGCTTGCCGCGCCCGCGGTTGCCGCTTTCTGTGTACGCCCGCCATGGTAACCTGTACAACGATGCGCGCGACTTAGTAGTCAAGAATGGTTCTACTTGGAGTAAAGATATCATAACTGTTGTCGTAAAAGATCTCATTTATATTGCGCCGGAACTTTAGTTATTATTGCTAGTAATGTAATTTGAGTCTATAGATCTACGTTGAGACGCACTTCTTTAAGCACCAGTTCATCTATTTTTTTCCTTTCCTCCAACCTTATTTTCATCTTTTGTTCCCATTCCTATCTCTGCCTAATTAATCCTCACGGATTAATTAGGGTGAGCTGTTTGGAGTCGAACTTGAGCCGTCTGCATGTCTGTCCGCTGTCCAGCAGGTCACTTGACGAGATGGTGCACGTAGAAGGGAAAAGCGTAGTATTAGGAGGTGGTGATGCTCTAGATGGTTATAATGGTTATTACTATACTAAAGCTCTAACTTAGACTAAGCTGTCAGGCTGCACTCGCATACAGTTGCGTGCGTGCCGCTTCGAGGAATTCAACGGCTGAACACCTTTTTTTCTCTCCCCATCGATACTAACAACTAATTTAGAACATGTTTGTTGTCATTTCACATTTGTTGTAATCTATATACTGAAGCATGCATTATAATATTGTCGAAGTCTGCCCTGAAGCATTATAATTTTTTTAAATATACACATGGAAATTGGCTTCGTGTATAAAGGAAAGTAATGCGCTGTGGCGAGGCCCACAAATCCAGAGGTCACGATCAGGCGGACGACTAGGTCTAAATTTATGCTTTTTCGCCTCTCAATATGACGCGTTATCACACCTTCCCACAGTAACTGCTGCGTTCATGTGTTAATAGTGCTATCAGCCTTAGGCAGCATAAATAAAGGTTTAGATGTGATAATACATGTATATATAACTTGATACATGCTAAAACAGTGGAATGGTACCACTGACTCATCTTATTTCTCAGGTAATGTATTAGCGTCATCAGACACGTTGAACGACCATGACGGCGAGAGTTACTTCAGCGATGAAACTTTATCCCAGCTTAGAATAGTTTCATGAGCTCACTCTCACGTAGCACAATTGTTCTTCTGTGGGGTTTAGAAATATATATTCTTTCAGATGAAATATAAAATATGAATAAATGTATTGCTGAATGCGTTGTTATTACCACTTTGTTTAGGAGCACATCGTTTGTCTTGTTTCGGGTGATAACTTCGTCTGTTTTGACAGACCCTAAACGTCAGAGAAAAAGAAGTTGGGCCAGGTTATTACGATTAGTGGGCTGCAGCTGTTCTAATTTTAGGTTCGTGGCGTTTAAGAAAAAAATAGGGTGCAGCAAAGAAAGAAAATGTCATGGCCAGGGCACGTTGAAGTTCCTGGGGTGAAGCATAATGCACAACATCACGTGTGTGCATATTCAGCGTCACGTACAACGCGACATGCAACAGAAAAAAACAAAACAAAAAAATTGCCTACTCCAGCAGCAAGAAGTCCTCGAGGCTCATCAAAAACCACGCCTCAAAACCTATGTCAAAGCTCAGCTTGTGGCAATGACAAATGGCTCGCCACTGAAGTCATTTGCGAAAAATGAGAAGATGACAAAAAAGAAGCTACGAAAGCTGCCAGCACGCACCTTGGGCGTCGAGTATCCAGAAAGCCAGCGCGCCTACGCCGACCTGGTTGACCGCGGCGCACGAGTAGTTTCCCTGCGTGGCAGTGGTCACGGGTTCGGTGACCAGCGTCGCTCCGGTCACGTTCAGCGGCACGCCCCCGTGTTCCCAACGAAACGCCACGCTGGGCGGCAATCCCGTGTCGTTGACGTGGCAGCGCATCGTCACGCGCTGCCCTTTCAGCGGGGGCAGGGCCCCGCTCTCGGGAACCAAGATCGCAGGGCCCGGGGGATCTGACGTGTCGATGGACGCATGCGTGCAAGGAGGGCGAAACGAAATGCACAAGAATGATCGCGTCGTAGAAAGCTACCTTCACCAACACACACATCAGTCACACTCACAGAGAGAAGGTATTTATGCACGACAAGTGTACACGAGCGCAAGTTGAGTGCTTTGTATCTTTCCGGCAAAAAAAAAAAACATGCTCTGACCCGAGACCATGTGGCACGCTGCCGTGCGGTCCTTCGTTCAGGCGCTCTCAAAACGCTTTATCAGCCCGCACTTCTTACTTCTACTCGAAGTCACTGAGTAGACGAATGTCTTTCGAGGCAGCCTCGTATTAGGAATGCACAATGAGCATAACATGGCGTGGCATGCTTTACTGGATGGATGCCGAAAACTTCAGCTCGTGGTTAGTGACAAATTATTCCTCGAACGAAATACACACGTACCGTTTGACGCACGAACAAATGAGTTCGCACAAAGGAGTGCAATAACACGCCTAGATATGCGGAGGTGCTAAAAACAAACTGCAAGTATTGAACAAAGTTTAAATTGAGAAACATTATGTACTTATAGCAAGCATTAAATGTACTATCAACAGCAAATGTTAGCGGAACGTTCGATCTACAACAAGTGAAAATTTCTGCTACATCAGTGCTTAACGCTTGTAATTCAGCAGGGGACTCTATATAGGTCGGCATGCCAAGGGTAGTATAGAACATTTATTTTGAAGTTACACTTACAGGTAAGCGGAAATTCAGCTTCATTGAACATTTGGCGTCCCGCAAACTTTTCCTGTTGATAAAACATTAAATGTAAGCACTTGCCGGACGGATATTCTTTCCACACGCAAATGACTATAGTCACTGATATTTCAAGTAGTTACATTATATCTTGGTATTTGACGTGGTGTTCCGAGTATTAAAAAAAACATGGTCGATACATTAGTCATAGAAATTGTTGTAACTCGAACGTTAGACGTTTCCTTATAAAAGTAGTTGAATGTTTCCTGTATACGTTGATATAAAAAAGCTTTCACAATGCTTATTGGGACTTAGCAGCTATGGCGCCATTTACACCCATTGACGCTTCATGGTACATATATATCACGACGGCTAACATCCAAGGTTAATGATTAAACGAACCTCTGTGGTAGCTGTGTGAACACAAAAGAACGGTAAGAGTGTAATCGCACAAAGCCGTGTTACAGCCAGAACGACGTCACTGATTAGACGCAGATCTTGGGCTAAGGTCATTATCCCACGGCATGTCGAAGATTCATTTATTACCACGGCCAGATTATAGGAAACATATTGCACGTCGTGTCCCCTCTCGCGCCTGACCGCGATTTTTTTCTAGTGAGTAAGTGGGTAAGGCGGTTTTGCAGCCAGGCAAGGCAGGCAGGCGTCGTGAGCTATTTTAGGCATGAATGGATGCTATGAGAAGGCCCGAGGCTTAGACTTAAGGTGTGTTACGCCACCTCGAGGTGTGTTTAGGCGTTGACAAGCTTTTACTGAACGGGGCAGAAGCGTAGCAACGACGTGTTACAGGCGCGTGTTGTGGCGCGTGTCACTCGACGTCTGAGAAGGGTAAGAACGATAACCTGACCGGAATCCTACAGTTGTGCTACGATAATTGGATATTCTTCTCCCGTTAAGAACAGGCATACTTTAAAAGCAACAGAGTGCTCATTAAACATAAATAACTATATCGAGTATGTCTTCCCTAACGCAAATGTATGGTTACGTTCAGACTGTAGAAAACAAGATGGAACTTGCATGTCGAAATCGAAGTGTACCTCAATAAAACTCCTTTTCCGTCACTTAGACATGCGAGAAACACATAAACGCTGCCAGTAGTACGACAAAGAAACAATGTCACTGTTTCTCTAACGGTAAAATTGAATCAAGAACGCGGGAGTAACATCTACTGGTGAAAAGACCAGAGGCAGTGAAGGTCCGTGAATCGCTGAACACCGAGCGCCACCGGGGGGTCACTTAGACCACTCGCGCAAGTTCTGTGCCCGAGTGGCGTGGCGACAGCATGTGACAGCCAACGACGACCAAGGGAAAACGGCTAGTGAACAAAGTTTGTTGAGGAATGCCCGAAATTCGCCGGTCGACGCACGCAAACGAGTGCTCAATTGTCGGTCCAGCAGGGATGCATCTTCCTTTCCTCTTCCTCCCTGTAGGGGCCTCCGCTGCCGATGCAGGAGGGGAAATAAAAGGGAGAGGAAGAGCTGGAGACCGAAAGAACGCAGGCGTCAACCAAGCGTGCGAGCTCGCCAGTGAAGCGGTTCAGCCTCGGCTTCGGCGGCTGTGACGGCTGCCGCAGTCGATAAAGCACACATCGATGTCTCCGCTGGCGGACACGCATGTTCGCGCTCCGTCGAGCTCCGATCGATGTCCAACCTCTCTCTCCCGACCACCCTCTCCCTTTTACAAGCTCGCTGCCTCCACCCCTTTTTACATAGCTGCCCCCTTCCCGGCAGCCGGCCTCTAAAAACCGCCCCGATGTTCAACGCTCCGAAATTTCTTTCTTTCCCGGATCTTCCTGCACTCTTCCGCCCTGTTGCCTATTACTCCGTTGGCCGCTTACATTTTCATACACATTGTCACACAGCCATTGCGAGCCTTGCTTCCTGCTGTGTGTGCGTTTATCTTTCCTTTCCTCTTGGCTCACTGGTTCTACGCTAGAAGTAGTAGCTCGCCGGAGCGTAAAGCGTGTGAGTTAAATTTTCTCGCTCGAGTTTCTCCTGGTTTTGCCCGGGCCTCGCATACTCTGCTTCTTTTCCTCAGCTGACTTAAACTCACAAATTCTAAGCGCCGAAGCTGACGTGGCACCCGCTTACGGGCATGCATGTGTGTGCGGAGGTTTTCGTTTCCCTCACAGGGCACGCGATTGGCCTGAGCAAATGGAGCAAAGGGCTGGTGCCCCCTCAGTGTTAATGTCTAGACGTCTCTCGACGGGAGCTTTAGACGAGCCTTTCAATAATAGTTGCCTTTTATGGCATAAACTTCACATTTTTCTGCTGGAAACCACTTCCCTTGTTAAAAAAAATGAATACTATAAAATTGAATGCATCCGCACTTTCACTTTTCGCATTATAGTTTAGATAAGCTCCATGTAATCCGAAACAGCGAATGTGCACGAAAGGTTCTGTGAATGTCTGTGTCAGCAATGTCCGTATATTCTATGACATCTAGGCTCCTTTGAAGAACGATGCTTCAGCTCTTCAAGCACATGAACGTAATGAATTCCAGAAGCATAGAAAAGTGGTGTAAGAACACGCTGGCGTTGGTGTAAACACCTGACGAGTAGTTGTTGAAAGTTTACGCGTACGCTTCAGTGCCTTGGTAGTGTAAATGTAAATTTCCCAGACTTTGCCGTGCGTAGCCGGTGGGAACCTGGGGGGTGGCTATACGGCAGCTGCTACGACGTCTAGCTTGTGTGCACGTAATGTAATGTGCTGAAAAATATAGAGGAACTGAATAGTTTCTAAGAAGCTACGGGTTTCATTCTTAATATTCTTATGAATATTTCACTCCTGAAACATCAGTAACGGTTCGTATAACAGGCCCTGAACAGAGCAAGGTGCGCCTACTAGTCCGAACCACACCGAAACAATTACGAACAGTGTCCGAGTAAGTTCTTTTGAGGCTTGGATTGTGATAGCCATGACAGGTGTCGTATACATGAGTTACAATTTCATTTTGTATTTCCTTGTTAATCGAGCACATACTCTCTCGGGAATGTTAACTTCAATCGCCAATGGTCTGATAACGCTTCCTATATAATAATACATTAATGGTTTTTATTATAGCAGACGACGGTATGCTACACAGACATTTTTTTTTTCCTGTGTAACCAGCTTCTTTAGAGCTGCTTAAAATGTTAAACCTCAATGGCACCTAAAGATAATTGTTTCGCCCTTGTGTTATTCTGAACGTCTCAGGAGACCAGACTAAAGAGATAAGCATGTAGCCATGTCAAAGGCTATAAAACTGCGTGTAATGTGATTGCCAAGTCGCACTTGACGCGCCAAAGCTACAAGGACAAAATGCATGCCTATTCCATTCTCAGTTTTCCGCCTCAAGAACAGGCTGCTTTTACGCAACGACCCGAAGCGAACTATACAGAACGAAACAAGCTGCTAATGCGAAAGACCTATCAGGCTTAAGCGTGAGGGAAGATCCAAAGCGTAGAGATAAAGGGAGGTTAGCAAGGCATCAGATCATTGCTTCGTGTTGCAAGCATTCTTTAAGAGCGACGACTCATCGTTGAAATACGTCTACATTACTTTTACTAATACACACGGAGAGATTTGGACAAGCACTGCACCAGCGATCATTTACCAATCACCAAAAGGCTACATTCTCTTTGAATTTTACGAGCTTTTCATTACACAGAACTCTGAGCAAGGCTTGAAAAAGCGGCCCATCGACGAAAGAGAAATCGCAGCCAATTAGTGAAGTGCTTCCCAGTTTTCAAGATGTTGCATCACCCTGGCCGCGTCACTGTCCGTATACCGTAAAGCTTATCCCGATAAGTGTCCAGTGAAGCGGCCCGCACATACAACAGCGCCCCTGGTTTTCTTGGCAGTTATGCTCATTAACCTTACCCTATTTCAGAGCTTGCTTGCCTTTCGAAAAATTGTTACACCACCTCGTGTATATAGCGCTACTGCAGCCACGTCGACATTCTGCTCTCTCCTACATTCTTTCAAAACCCTGTTTCTGGCGATCTCTTTTTGTTCCGTCCAAACTACATTGTACACACGCAAGCACGTATCGAATTGGCTCGACAAGGGAGTTGTCTTTTTGCGTGAACACGTTACGGCCAATAAAACAAGACTCGGCTGGGCGAGTCCAGGGGTATTCAGGGGCGTCCTGCATAAATGTCACAAACCGCTACTTGCCCAGCGTATTTTACAGCCGCGCACAAACATCGCCGACGAATAGCACAAAACAAAAACAGGTTTCTCCTCGAGGCGCAAACTCTGGACAGAAGCTGACACTGCGACCGCCGCCCGGGTGAGCGCAATAACGTGTAGCTTATCGCAAACGGCACCCGTGGCGCGACTTTCGCGGGTTCAATGTGCGGGAACAAGTAGCGGCTTTGGACCGCCTGGGAATCGGACACGAAATAAAGGCCCGGCCACCGCTGGCCGTGGAACTTGTGTAGCCTGACCGGAGAATCAAAGAAGGCACTTATATGACACCATCTCGCTCTCTCCCACTGTTAACTCAGTGCGCCATGCAGAACATCGCCATCCGCTAACACCCAACGCGGTGAAGTTCCTGCCTGGTTAGCTCCCCCCCCCCCCCCCCCCAGAAAAAAATGCAGTCATAACACGAGAAAAACAAACAGATCAACTGTTCTCTTCCCCTCCAAAAAGAGAAGACAAAGAATGGTGGACAGTGTCGTCTGCCGCCGAGTGGGGCTGATTTCGTGGAATGAAAACTACAGATACAAAAACGGTTTCGCGAGCGCTAAAATGACGAGTAATGTCGACATCACTATTCGCCTGACGGGCAATGGCCAGTATTGTGGGTTTCTCTGCTTGACGCCCCCGGGTGGTGAAGCACGTCCAGCGACCAGTCAGTTCAGTTGCCTAACGCGAGCTGTAATCAATAGTTTGGCGCTTTTCTTATATACATAGGCTTCGCGTCTATCTAATGCTTTTTTTTCTCTATATACGTATATTGCTGGTCTTTTTCGGTTGTATACATATTGCACATATTCCTTGGCAAGATATGGGCCTTTCTGAATTCCTCGGGCGATTTTGTTCCAACATATTCAGACTTATTGAATTTTTTTCAGGCATCCTATAGGTATCCAAACAGAAAGAAATGACAGAAGAAAAAGCAAGAGGAAAAAATAATAAGAAAGAAATAAATTAATGCAGGCAGTTTGGTCGGGCCCTCAGTCCAGGACGCCGTTTGCACGAGCGGCTCGCTGTGCTTGACCAGGAAAAGGAAAACGAACTAGCATTACTTCACTGTTCGGTTTGCCTGATTGCGTTTGCACATTTCGTAACGGTATACCGAGTCGCTTGGAAGCTCTGTTGCAATACGTGCTACCAGCGTGTACGAACTGCTTTGCTGCGTGTCCTTATGCAGTGGTTGTATTGATTCTATAGGATCAATACAGCCATTGATATAAAGAGTACTACGACTATAAATACAATATTCATATTGCTGCTACGGTAAATGGGAAATCTCATATTAACAATCTACCATGAGAAAGCTATTCAAGGCCATGTCCACTGTGAGGGCGCGTTTATTTCTGGACCCGATAATAATGGCCGCCTTACGAAATTGCTTTCTATATTTCGCAAGGGTTCTCTCTTTTCAATGTGATACATATATATCTCAAGATATCGACTGAGCTGTTTCTATGTAGTCGTGGACGAACAGCTGCTTTAACACAAACAGCGTTTTTTTTTCGCACAAGTTTTTCACTGTCCTTATGTAATTGTTGATGCTGGTAAGCGCACTTCACCTAGACGCCAAAGTGACTGCATGAAAGAATACAAAGTGATTAAAGAAAATTCACGAAACCTCCAATTGGCAGCGTAATAGTGCAAGATAACCACCGGGTACATCACTATCTGCAGCATGATCTACACAATGGTTATCTTGTGAAGTAGTTCATGGACGTCCTACGTCCGACCAACGCACTGCATACAAGCCTGCTTGCGTTGCATATGACGACCTCTAACGCGGTGATAGTCAGCGTGCGTTCGAACTATCCGAGAGGGCATGTAATTTGCGCATTATCACCCGCGATCAGCAGCCCCTGGCATGCATATCCGTATTGGCCATATGGTAGACTGGCAGATGCATACATACATACATACATACATACATACATACATGCATGCATACGCACATGCGCACATACATGCATACGCACATGCGCACATACATGCATACGCACATACGCACATGCATACATACGCACATACGCACATACATGCATACATACGCACATACATACGCGCATACGCACATGCATACGCACATACATACGCGCATACGCACATGCATACGCACATACATACGCACATACATACGCACATACATACATACGCACATACATACGCACATACATACGCACATACATACATACGCACATACATACGCACATACATACGCACATACATACGCACATACATACGCACATACATACATACATACATACATACATACATACATACATACATACATACATACATACATACATACATACATACATACATACATACATACATACATACATACATACATACATACATACATACATACATACATACATACATACATACATACCATACATACATACATACATACATACATACATACGCACACACGCCTTCATGTTATAGCACTCACACATGACGACGAGAGACTTGTGAGGAGACATGGGGCTCCATCCGGCATCGTTCTTTGCCTCGCAGCTGTAGTTGCCTGTGGCAGATCGCCGCAGTTCCTCGAGCAGCAGGTCAGGCTCTTTGGTCTCGTTGACTAGCTTGCCGTTGCGGTACCAGCGTACCCGACGCAGCTGCTGCGGGTTACCGGACTCGGCCTCACAGCGAAGCAGCACGGGGCCCTCGCCAAGCGCCACCACCGACGGATTCACCCAGACACTCACCAACGGGGTATCTGCAGGGCCAATTTAGAGTGACGGAAAATGTCTCGCAGCTGGACGAAGTCACAAAAAATAAACAAATATATTTTTCAAGTGCTTCGTAGGTCATCGAGCTACAGACGACTTCACGGGCCAAATATCAATTACAGGCATTGTGTTGGTGTGCGCGGTCACAAAGAGATCATCCCTTCTTCAACAGCTCTCCATAGAGACGTCCTTGATAGAGCCACTGCTGTTATAAAAATACACTTGAACGCGCCTTAGCCATCTTTTAGAACTGCGTTCATCAAACTATCTCCCTGCTAACATTCAAATTGGTTAAGCATATTGATTATATTCGTATCGTTTTCTTCTCGTCCTTAATTAATATTATAGGGTCGTTCTGGTTTTCTAGTGACTGCCTTCGCGCATAAAATCGCCAAATATATGTTCAGAAAGTTCTCGACTTGCCTCAAAACACATTAAAAGGTGTGATGATTGCCGACCTCATTTTATTTATTTATTTTATTTTTATTATTTACATAGTTCCTGCAACGCCGTAGTGGCATTACTGCAGGGGGGTATACATAAGAAGTCATAGGAAACATTTCTGCGATAAGACGCCAAACATAGTGAAAAAATTCAATTATAACAACATATAAAAATAAAAAAAATAAAAAAATATTTTAGTACAATATTGCACATGACAACAGGTACCAAAAGAGAAGTACATATGTCACAATTTCACAACGATGAGAAAAAAGCGCTGTTGTCACTCAAGTTCACTATACCTTCGGGAAGTTCATTCCAGTCTCTAATTGTTTTTAAACCCCTTCTTCAAAAACATATTTCCCCTTCTTCAAAAACATATTTCTGTCTTGTTGCAGTTCATGACAGTTCTAAAACGTCATTTCAGCGTCTCTGGCAACAGGAAAAAAGAAAGCCTTTCAAGTGATCAGGCAGCATGTCAAGATTGCAGCGAAGAGTTTTCTCTCTTTATTCAATCAGCCATTCAGCGAGGCATCGAGAAACACGAATGAGTACGTGTCTATTGTCCGTTTTATCAGAAGAAAAGCAGCTAAGCGTTCTTTTCACTTTTAGTTACTGCCTTGAAACAAGTGGGATTGGCAGCGTTCACGATAGCGTGCAGCTTTCTTTTCCCGCATGAAAATGCTGTAGTACTATTTCGGTGCTGCGCTATCATTATTACTCATTAAACTCGCTAACTATACTTACAGAAAACGTCCAGGTATACGGAGTTTGAGGCGTTTCCTCGTCCGAACGCGTTCTTCACGTGGCAACTGTATACACCGGCGTCCTTGCGCGTCGCGTTCCGTATTAGCAGCACTGTCTTGGGCAGCAGCCGGTGTCCCCTGGTCTTGGGCGGAAGCAGCTCTCCGTTCTTGTACCACGCCACCTCGGTCGCGTTAGGAGGGTTCGCGTCGTAGTGGCAAGTAAGGTTGCACGCGTGCCACTCGGTCACGTTCACGCCCTCGGCCGGCAACACGCGCACAGCTGGTGGGTCTGCGTCGACAAAAAAAAAAATCGCACCATATCCAGGGAATAAATGATAATTGTGCGAAGCTCGAGAGGGGGAGATCATCGGTAAACCGCAACTCTCGCGTGCAAAGTTAGTCCATTGCATCCTTAGAAAGACGTAAGACTGCCCGTGTGTTATACAAGTCGACTTTTATTTTGTTCTTGTTTCTTTATTGTTTCGTTTCTTCGTTTGTTCTTTTCATATCTTTGTTGTGAGGTTGGCTGAATTGCGAGGTCCAATAATTATTTTGGCATTATAGCGCGTGAAATAAAGCGAGAGAGGTTCTTGTACTGGCTGCAGTAGGAAGTTTGCAAACACTGTCAGTGCACGTTCCTCGTACCGTGGTAGGTTGCATATGGATACATCTGAGTTCGTATTTGGAAAGCATGTGCTGCACAATGCAGTCATTGGCAATGAGGTCCGACCGTCTGTTCATTCGACCATCTGTACGTCCGTCCATCCACATGTCTCCCGGTCTGACTGTCTATCTGTCACTTATAATAGCGCCACCTGCTCAGTGACTCATTCAACTAGGTGGTTATGATCCGGTGACAAAATATATGCATGGACAGGCCCACGACTTTGGGAGCTTCACCTTTAAACGCGATTGTTTCCAAAATAGCGCATAGACATTGTGCATAACTACCAAGGTTGCTCTCCCAGGATACAAGAAGTCATTACTAATATAATACTGTCTCAGAAGTTGCGAGAACTACTGAAATGAGAACCCCATGCCAGCAAGAGCCGGAGCGAGCATGCTGATTGATTGATATGTGAGGTTTAGCGTCCCAAGACCTCCGTATGATAATGACAGACGTTGTAGTGGAGGACGCGGAAATTTCGACAACCAGGCGTTTTTTAGCGAGCATGCTGGTCGCACTACCTTAAGTCTTCGGCAATGCCTCAAAGTATTCTACCGAAAAGAAAGAAAAAAAAAACCAAGTGAGCGAAAGTTTTTTATTCTGTTGTGTTTCAGCGCTCAACTGAAACCACATTGTAAGTACCTCAGCAAGCAGAAGAGATACGCGTGCCACATCCCACCAGGCGCTTCTAATTATTCTCTCGCTAAAAAGGCAGCCGACCCACTATTAAGCAGCAAAGAGAAACAAAGCCAAGCGCATGAAGCGAAGTAATAACTAATGTTGGTACTACCAACGTGAGTTCGATATCCGCTGCAGCTCTCAAGGGGTATTCCAGTTATAGCCAGTTACTAAGTGTCAAACCGAGTAGATCACGCATGGTGTATAGAATCGTGGACACTTTAGCATGTTCGCACAACGTGTTCCTCGATTTTCTCCACAGCTCAACATCCGATAATATAGTTTCCAATTACGCTTTCGTGCGCTTAGCCACTCTTACTGTTTCCAAGGGGCCCTTACTTGACCGGTATTACGTGTGCAGAAGCAAGAGCTGTCGCAAGAGGTTTAACGCTTTGTTCAGTCACTCTTTCTCTTCGTGCTCGAGTTCCGCTGTCATGCACACAAGCCGTCTAATTAGCATTCTCTCTTCTTCTGTCTTTTGTTATGCAGTCGCTCTTCCAGCATGCACTTTAATAAAGTAAAAGTCTGTAATTTTATGATTACATATTGCACTCTAGAAATGATATACGAATATTGTGCTTGAGGGAGATTCTTAGCCAGGAGACTGAGTAAGACTTTCGAAAAAAGGAAACACCCTTATGTTGCTCTAGTATTAGGAGGATTAGAAGCTGAGGATTACTTCAATTTTTCTTAGTGGAGCCTCTACCTTTATACATTGCTTTATTTACAAATGATTGCTTCCATTACGCGTCAGTAGACCAGTCCGAATGTGATTAGGGAGGATGAAAATTTGTTGTTATTGTTGTAATTAGGTATATTACATTTTTATCAGCATGAGGTATTCCTAAGCGCTTCACACTCACACGGTACTTCCGCTCCCAGCACGGGAGTAGTAGTCTGATCCCTCATTGTTATTAATTTTTAAGTAGAAAAAGTTAATAACAGGTCTCTTGACCATTGTATAAAAGCAGACTTTCATCGAAGAAAATGACGAGAATTCATAATGGTAAATAAAGTTCGATTAATGCGAAAACGGCCTTCCACATAGGTCGCTGGATCGTGCCACAGCCTGTAGAAAGCGCGATGAAAAGAAATGTGTCATGCATATAATGGGTCAGTGTTAAAGTTTCACAAAAGCCCACTTACCACTGTACCCCAAATGTCAGACTGGCTAATTGTGAAAATGAGATCACATATGTAACTCGATACTGCACAGGAAGGCGAGAGTTCTATTGCGCCTTTTGAAGCCTACCGGACATATAGTGTGCACTTGTAGCAGCTCCTTCAAATCTTTCATCGTTTTGTGCCTTGTTTTCACTTTGTCAATTAAACATAGCTATAAGAATTCTTCCACGAACCTAAGCCTTTTGTCTTTATCCTTCGTCTTCCTCATGACAGAGTGACTAAGCCTTGTACAATGAAAAAGAAACGTGTTGCGAGGGAAGTAAGGCGTTCACTGCTGGCTTCGTTAGGTCAAATATACAAAGATATTAATTGGATATTTCGGAAGCACCTTGTGCTTAGGATATCTTTTTTCCAAACTTACTGCTGCAGAAAGTATGTCTAACAATATTTCACGCCGGAACGTTCGAGTGATCTTACAATAGACACAATAGTATTTCCTAAAATAGTGAAGCCTGGACGGCAGCCGAATAACTTTGTGTCTTTATTGCCATATTGAAGATATCGAGTTAGACGCGAAAAAAAAAAGCAATAGTGCGTAGTTTAAAAGAGAGCTGTTTATCATCCCCGAGATTTTTATCATCTTTTTCTTCGAACGCCTGTAGTAATAAGGAAAAGAGTCGACGAATGACTAAGTTGTTTTATCCTAAATACGGGCCTTACAAGAGCTCTCTTAGACGCCCCACATGTAGATGTATGACAGCATCAGGTGGGACAATTGCTGGCTCTTTACACCAGGTCAACACTACCTGCTGCATCACCACGACCAGCATTACCCCCCGCATCATAAACAGAAGAGCGCGGTGATCAACTCACATAGAACTTCTAGTCGGACGGCCTGAAGAAGTGGTGCTTCTGTTCTGTTTTTGAGCACCTGATTGGTTCCTTTGCAGAAGAACTCTGCTTGGTGGTCATAAAGGCTGGCCACAAACACCAGTGTGCTTGCGGTGCGGTACGTTCCGTCACTCATGAGGTCCTCTGCAGCCGGTGGCTGTGGGCGCACCAGTTCAGACCGGTTGTACCACGTTATGTTTGCTGCCGGCCTGGCACCCTCCACGATGCACGTGAGCGACACCATCTCGCCAGCCACGACCGGGTGATTGGGACCACGTAGCCGTAGGGCAAGGGGCCGTACTGCATTAAGCCGAGTAAGAAGGGCATTGTTCAGAACAAACGCTTCTTTTCCTGGTGCAGATGAAACACCATTTAAGTGTTCAGTGTGCGCGTTGACCGAAATAATAAACCAATAGAAAGTGTAATCCAGGAACTACTGGTCCCTCTGCATGCACAATTGTTTTTTGTTATTGAATGTTTCACAACTTTGTTGGGCGTTTCGTGAATAAATGGCAGAATAAAAGAACGAGCCACTAACGAAATAGCTGGTAATAAAAGTTCAACTAGTGCGCTTGCAATTAAGCCTGCAACTGGCATCACGAAAAGTGAATATAGTAAATAAGGATACATAGGTAGTAACACCGGTCTGCTATGGTCATAAAAGGAAAGATTGAATAAATATGCTCGACTGTCGTTTACAACAGAGAGAGTATGTAACGCTTCTCTGGTTTTCATAACTTCTAGAAGTTGGCTTAGCACACGAGACGAACGCCGCGATACCGCAATTCTCTTCATGAGCATTACAACTACATTACAAAGGGAAACAATATAATACTACAATTCAATACTACATTCCAAATAGAAACAATACAAGTTTGTTACAGTAGGACCAATAAATGCTGCTCAAACAGGCATCGCGCGTCCACTTCTAATTCTTTCGCGTGAGCTTGTAAAATACGCGCTGCCTACCGTGCACGTCTAGCTGGACCCATTTGACGACCGGAGCGGGCGTGGCCTTGGTGATCACGACGCACTCTAACCGGGCGCCCAGGTCCCAGCGTGAAAGCACGAAACGTGCCGTCGACGTGACATCGTGAATTCCGCGCAAATGGGGCGTTACGGACGTCTTTACGGGCAGCTGGGCGGATGCGTTGCGCCACAGCACCTGCGGCGCTGGTCGCCCTCCTGACGAGAAACAGTCGAGCACCACAGTGGTACCCTCCAAGTAGGGTCCTAACAAAGAGCCATTGGTCAGCCGGCGGCCGTCCATCTTGATCACCGGCTCTTTAGGCGTGACTGCGTAGCGAGGAAGATAATGCGTGGAGAAACAAGTTATAAGACAGTATAGTTCTATCCGCAAAGCAGGAAATGAAGACGTGTTAAGATGAAGGCAGGAATGTCGACCAGGTTGAGCCCTCCTTCCTGCCTTGCACTAGGATGTAGAAGAGGCAGTAGGAAAGGCAGAAGGTTGGTAAATGAGCCGATGTTGGGCATCAGGTTGATGAGAGTGATAAAGGAAAGGCAGGGAAGTTAGCAACACTGAGCTCCGTTGAGCACCCAGTACTAGGAGAAGATAGAAAACGTACCAAAATATGAGGAGAAGGAGGTAGATAAGCTCGTGTTTAGCTTCGAGTTCCTCACAATACACAGACACGCGAAATGTTGTTTTAACGTCTATATTTCTGCCTTCATTAAGGTGAAACATAGCCACATAAAACTGGTTTTATTTAGAAGTGACAAGGACGAGTAGAATTCTTTCGTATTTCAGAACTTTTTGAAACCAGTATCATATATCAGCAAACAGCAATGCTTTAAAACTTTGTTCACTGCCTGAATCTCCTGTAAACTGTTCTCTCTTATATTTTTCGCACAGCACTACACAGTTGAAGTATCTCACGCTTTAAATACCACTTTACCTTTCTTGTCCACCTTAAGGCGACAGAAGGCGATAAATAGTTAGGCAATATGTAGTGAAATCCAGAGAGTTCATTCAAAAATGAGCCAAGTGTCAAGGACAATATGCCTGAACAGATCATGCAACGCATCTCAACGCAGCCGTTTGTTCAATCAAAAAAAAAAAAAAAAACTCCTCGTTGCGTGCGCCGTGGATTTTTCTTTTCTTCTTAAAACGCATGCTACGTACACTTCTCTTAACAAATATAGGTTTCAAGGTCACAAGCGTTGCACCCCAAAAAACTTCCGGTTAGCTCATTCACCAGCTCCTAACGTCGAAACTGTAAGCACGTTTTCAATATTGTTTTTTTTTAGGTAAAAGGGAAGTATTTCATTAGTTTTTCACATGAAGGAACGTGCGTTAAGTTCAATGGAATCTCTTAGAGTTTTTATGTAGATCAAAAGAACATATATTTGAATATATTTCGCCAAACATGAAAAGTGTAGAAAATCAGCAGGCTATTTGTAAGGCTCTTCTTTCCCACCGATGCTATCCGGGAACGTGGCGAACAAAACTAGATGTCATCAAGGGCGTGTTTAGTACTTATGTGCAGTTCATTGTCCTAAATATGCAAGAACAAAACTGGCACTGAATGTACGATAAAGGAAAAGTGAGAAGTGGTGTGGACTTCTATGAACGACAGAAGACCGTGTAACTTAGAAGACAAAAGTAGATCAACAAAAACAGTATGAATTTGAGAAGGTATTTTATAATTTTATAAAAGGTTCTTAGGAGAGAAAAGGCTGTTTGGAAATTTCTTTCATAGCCTTCCTTTACTTTGCTTCGAATTATTGATTGATTATGCCTTGTATTGCCGAATATAATCCTCCTGGTTAGCGGAATAAATACACCTACCACATCAAAATGGTAATGGTCTATAGTTTGCACCCACATAAAGGCGAATTTTTTTTCGACAAGAAGCATTTTTTTCGTAGAGATCTGCATGTATTCTCTTGTACCAGCGCTGTTGTACAAACTGAGAGTGGGCTCTGTGTTGGTGCATGAACGATTACACCGTCAAGGGCGTGTGGACAGCCCGTTGTGCGCAGCTTGTGGCTCCTGCGAAACACTTGAGCACCTCGTAGTGCACTGCCCCACATTTTCTACGCAGCGGTCTTTGCTGATTAAGGAATATAAATTCCTAGGACTCAAGTGCGCGACCCTAGACGACTACCTCTTTCGAGTGGTACTGCTTCCCGATGCGACCAGGCCCACCGAGCTCTCCTTACATTTATGAACCAAACGAACCTGGCCATCCATTTATAGACGGTCTTTTATTATTATTATTATTATTATTATTATTATTATTATTATTATTATTATTATTATTATTATTATTATTATTTTCTTTTCTTCTATCTTATTACTTTTCTTCTTTTTTATTATTTTAATTTATTTTTTCACTCATACTTCTTGAATTCTACGTCATTTTTTCTCTCTTCGTCATCTTCTTTCCCCTCTCTCCCATCTAATCTTTGTTTCCTCTGCTTCTTCCCTCGCCCCAAAAGAGTGAGCAGGTGTTGTGCCCCTCCAGGTGGCAGTTGCCAGCTTGCTCTCTCCCTCTTTCCTCTGTGTCCTTGTGAATCTGTGTATGCAAATCAAATAATAATAATAATTCGCGCTACAAGCAGGTGAACGTCAATGTATCCTTTTATTACCTTCCTTCCGCGTGCCATATCTCTCAGGACTGATTTGCGATCCTACTTTCACATCTAAAACATTAACTCCGACGAAAAGTGCAACACTTTTCTATGTCTTTGTATGTTCCACAAGTGTATGCATATAGCGTCAGCGAGCAGCAGGAACAGGCAAAACACGAAAAACGTAATGAAGCTTCGCAATAAATTATCTCAATGCACTATCTTACGAAATCTTCAAAAAATGCCACGTGTCAGTTTTTGCTGCTCTGATCTAGATAAGACGAGTTATTTGAAAACATAACTAGTTTTCATAATGAATCAAACGTCGTGAATTTCGTTTACAAAAATTTCGGCCGCAATAATGTATCTCTGGCAGCGACGCAATGATGGGTATTGTGGGTTTTTTATATGCCCATCAGATTTCTACGTAACGATAGAACAGCAAGTCTTTCTTTAGTGTTACCTTCCAAATAGAGTTTTGTGTCGCAATAAACTGAAGACAAGATCATTAACAGTGTGTAGGGGAAGGAGATGCTCATGTACTAACCGTTTTATGTAGTTGGGAGTGACCCTACAATCGTCGTTGTGTTTATACGACCTACAACAGGGTCAACATTGTTCGAGAACAGTAACACTTCCTTGCACATGCATGCTCACGGGACTTTGCAGTCGAAAAGCTTGTTTCGCCAATCCCCAGCTTGATGCTTTTTCTGTTCAAGAAAACTTTGGCGAAGAGAGAGCTTGAAGAGGAACTCCTTTCACAACTTCTCTCTCCCTCTCCTTTTTTACTGATCTTGTAAGCCATTCCTACGTGAGCGCAATTTTCTCTCAGATTAAGTTTCTTCAAGTTTGAGTGTTTCAGATCACCTTACACGGCGCAGCAACGCCGAAGTGAAAATAGCTCAAGTGAGAAAGGCCAACTAAGCATTTGCGAGTGCAATCCTAGCCCCCGATACCATCTCCTTGATTAAACGCAGCCTTGCGTGAACGTTTCAAGTTTTGCTCAAGCGTTTCTGCAATCTTTAACTCAGGAGGCCTTTCGCACTACCGAGAGCCGCTGAAAAAATGAGGTTTTCTTAAACTTTCTTTAACAGCACGTCTTTATTTTTTAAGGCGTCTGATTACAAAGAGTCTTTGGGCCGCGTTGCACACCAGTGAACAACAAAAGTAGCAGGTAGAAAGTTTACCTCGTGTCTGACGCTGCTGCAATCATATGATCTAGTTTTACATGCTTATTCTTTTCTCTCGGGCATGTTAAAAGGTTTTCTTGCTGCTTTAAAACCCGGCATCGAGATTGGGTCATGATAAACTGAGTCGGAACAACTTCTAACCCAAGTCGCAGGAAAAAAAACGAATTTTCTGTTTCTCTAAGAGTTTGTTTGCGATGCGAGCTTCAAATTGGAGCCAATGATGCAAAAAAGCTCAATTTTCAGGCTTTGGAACGTTTACTGGGTACTCTGCATGTTTTCAGAGAAGCTGCATGAGTTAGTTTGAGGAGAATATTATACAAAATAGGCGATAACTACTGAATTATGTCGTTACCACCTAACACATTTCTTGTAGCGAGATAACTGAAACGGTGAAAGAAGTATTTTTATCTTAATTTAGATCAATCACCTCACTTTTGAGAACTCTGGGCTGGTGTTCTGAGTCGTGCATTTTCGAAAGGGCAAGATCACTCCTTTTTTTTTTTTGCATTATGCTCCTAAACAGGGTTCTTGGGAAACTTACGGGAGCTTCTAATGTGATGGTCTAACGTTGTGATTTCATGTTCTTTGCAAAGCAGTTAGATATGCTACTTCACTTTTACTATCCATTATTATCTCATTCAGACACCAAAATTTTACTGTTTCTTTCAAGAATAATATCCGACTGCGAAAACAAAATTAAGTGCACGGAATTTATAGCCTCGTATTCGAAATAAAAGTATTAGGGTGCCTCAATGTGCTCGGAGGCACGGGCCCATCGAGGCACCCTAAAAAGTACTGAAACACCGCGACATCTTTTATTCTCTCGGGCATTCAATTTCAATCATTAACAATTGCTTCACGTAATGTTCCCTGAAAAAGCCACTCTGCAAATGAACATTATCATAAGCCAAGAAATTTCGACACAATCTAAAATACGGCGTAATCAACTAAAAAAATATTCCCACGATATGTACCGCTGGCTTAGTGACTTCAATCTTCTTTATGGCGAAACACACGCTCGTCACTCTGGCCAAGGAAAGCTCCAGTGTATCTCAAAGGCACACCAGTGCTATCGTTGCAGAGTCGATATTTGTAATGAAGACACTGTTTTGTTTCCTAAAACCTGCAATTTCATTTTTCCTAACTATGATCACAAATACAGCGTGTTAGGTTTACGTACGCAAAGAAGACTCAGGTTCATAGTAAATCGGTCTTCCGGCTTTTCCTTCTTGAACAAAAAGACATTTCTTTATTGCAAGACCACTTTTGTTTGACCTTCTGAGATACCACTGTCGTTTTTTTTGTAGTGTGTTTTAAAGTCGTCTGCCGGCTTTTTTAAACCAAATCTAAAGCAAAGAAAAATGTCGCTATGCAAGCAGACAGGTCAGCTCACTTCTTAAACGCATACGTACAGAAGGCGGGTGCTGCAAAAAGAAATGCGTCCATGAAATAGATGGGTCAAACTAACACACGAACCACTTTTATTTCAAAGTCGTCTTCAGCAATCCCAATCAAGATTTTGAAATTAAATTCACGATAGTAGAAGCATCCAATGCGGTGAAGATTAAACTCGGGGCAACATCAAGTTATGCCATAAAAATAGCGAAGCTCTGCAGACAGTATGTTGTTCAAGAAAAGTATCGAACAGAATAAAGTCAGCTCGAAAATTTCGGACTAGGAATGGTTACAAAACAGAGAAGGGAAACAATTGAAGTTGGTCTTAACGTTCGGTTTAATTTTCCTCTTTATGTTAGTGTTGGCCCTGCTGTTAGCCATGGCAGACGAGTGGTCCTGCTCGGTTTTTTTTTGTTTTTAAATAAAATGTATATAACGACAAGTTGGTGCCAACGCGTGGCGCCGGCTACTCCTGTTCTCTTGCACACAGTCGACATCGCCAATCAGATAACAAAGGTACATATCACAGCTCTTGCGCACTGAGTCTAAATGTTTCAATACAGAAATCTGTTCACACCTCACAAAATTTGGCAAAAAAAAGATGACCACGCAATTGAAATGTCTACACAAAATTCGAAAGTTCCCTACAATGTGTAAGCTGATCATGTCTTTCGGGAGCACTATTTTAAGTTTCCTATTATCCGCACAGAATGAATTAAAAGTTTTGATTTTCCAGCAGAGTACTGCAGAATTAGCTCAACCGATCATAAATATGGGTTTAAGTATAGGAGGCAGGTCTTTCTTTTTGTTTGTTTACTGTGACATATTATGTGTCTTTTTTAACTTCCTTTCAATTCAAAAACAAAGTAAGACAATTCCTTCTTATTTTCTGACCCAGTTTTAGACGGCAAGGCAACGAGGCATTGATAAACGAGCTCAAAAGCACACAATTTAAACAAATGCTTCTTTATTTTTTGCTAAATTAGGCTCATCAATCGAGTATTTACCATAATTGTGCCCGTTGGCTCGTTTATCAAATGCAACGGAATACCAGGATGCTTTAGACCGTTCATTATGTTATCAAATTTTTGAAAATTAACGCCGATAGATTGCGCAAAAAGTTTTCGTTTGTGAGCACGTTGCCTGTTTCACAAAGGCCGAAATTATAGCTTCTATTGTCTCGCTTTTCTACTGAGTCCCAAACACAAAGAACAATGTTTCAGCAATGCTTGTAGTAAAGATTATCATTTATTCTGTGAATATGCATTTCGAGGAAGGAAGCCAACGTCAACACACAATAAAGACACTTGTGCACACGCATAACGTCAGTTTGCTAGTAGCATCAAGGCATCTTATGAGCTCACATCGATCTTATTAATCAACAACTAGCACTTACAACATAAAAATACATATTTATGCATGTGAGCACTGTATCTGTTGAACACATGAGAAGTGAATTGAGTAGTGACACACAAAGTGTCCAGGTGTGGCTCTGTGCACACCTTATATTATCGAATGTAGGTGTTCCGGATCCCGGATGAAAGTCGTAAAGCGCAAATATAGTTGGGCCATAAAACCGCATGCCTCGGCTTAGTCATGCAGTGTTCTAAAGTTCCTTTTAATTTTTCTCGCTCCCTCCATACTTGGCGACCGCGGTTTTATATCAACGAAACTTCGACTATGCCTATCACTAGAGATAGGAAAGGCAGTATATTTTAAGCGCAACTGGTCCGCTTCTTTATTGGGGCGAAAAATTTACGATTGCACTAAAAGAAGAACGGGCCCACCAATGATACCCTTGCAGAAGAATGAGTCGAGTTAGTTCAGCGTAAGGAAAAAAAAAATGCGGGGAGAAAATAAAATAACTTATATACACGCTTCCGTATGTCACTGCTCTTAAATTGGTGTGGGTTATTGCAAGGCGGAAGTGTTTAACTTGCGAAACCTAAAATTTATGTCTATAATATGGCGACACTAGAGTCAATAGTTTTCCAATTAAATGAAGTCCGCTTAAAAACCAAGCTCACGCGACGTTTTGTCATACATATTTTTTACAAGCTTATTACAAACCCAGAGGCAGACTTCATGATGTTTTTTTTTTTGCTTGAGAGTGCATTTTAACTGTCAAACAGTTTCACCAATGGTAGATAGTTCATTAAGATTATAAGAAGATTACTTCCAAATTTTCGTTGAGAAGAAAGTTTTGTTAGAAACCAGGAAACTTCTCAGGTGCATAAATAAGTCACTGGCATTGTATTTGTTGCGACAAAAAGAGCAAAGAGTCTCTTGATAGTGTATAATAAGTGGATGTAATTCGTGAAGCAAGTTGTTCCTTGTGTGAAATGCAAGCGTGTTTTTCTTTATTTCGTGCTGCCCTTGGAATGTCACTTGTGACCGGCTGAAGTTTTGTTAACACTCTCGCAACATGACTACCGAGTGCTGCATTGATGCATGACAATATGTTCAAGGCTAATAACATATCCTTGTTCTGTTCAATTTTAACTTGTTTGCTGGGGAGTGGTTGAAGCTTATGTGAACATATATCTTACTCCCTTTTTAAACCTTGTGCAGTGAAAATAACAGATTAGCAAGTCGGTGAAACAACGTATAGTGCGCAAAAAAAGGAAAATTTAACATGGTGGTGTACAGTTTGTTTTCAGGAGATTGCATTGCCATGAACGCTCATACGCACACATTTCTATCCAAGCTCTGCCTATAGCATATACGGGCTGACTTATTTCATATATACTAACCCATAGCTGTCAATCACAAGCACTTCTCTAGTGTATTGTGCACTAAAAAGTCTTCTAGTAACATGTCCTTTTCGGAGTCACCAAATGTTATACAAATGATCTCTTGCGTATGTTTACAGTCTCAAAACAAGTTTTCCTTTGTGAAGGGTGGACCGCACATGTTTGTCTACTGTTGGCTTTGAGCCGTTCTAGGGGTACCGTAAATTTGAGACACTCACCGAGCGTTTGTAGCCTGGTGAAGGACAAGGAGGGGCACTTTCCTTGGACGTAGGTGACGTCACACTTGTACGTGCCTTCGTCCTCGACGCTGAGTGGCTGGATGCGCAAGTGGGCGGACGCGTTGCCCGGCTGAAAGGTGGCGCGGTGCGGCTCGCTCAGCGGGCCCATCACGCGGTTCACCGTCTCGGAGAACAGGTACACTCGCTGCCAGTCCTGGGACACGTTCTTGGTCCAGGTGATGAAGTAGACTCGGCCGCAGCTCGCCTCGTCCACCTCGCACGGTAGCACGGCCGAGCCACCCACGAAGCCGGTCACGTTGTGCTCACGTCCTGCGCAACATGGTTGAAGGATTGAGATCTAGCGTTGTGTAGGCAAGTGAATGGAGACAGCGAAAAATGCAAGTTAAGGAAAAGCAGAGATCTTAACCGCCACCCAAACATCTTCTTACTGACAAGAGTGGAAACTTGGGCTAGTTGGTGCGTAGTCATATTTGCAAGATGTTTCAGCGCGCGAACAAAGGAAAAAGGACAGGGTAGACAGAAAGAGCGCTGACTTCCAACTAACTTTATTTGACAGAGTGGCAAGAATATATACTGCTAAAAAGGATAATAACAGAGCATGAAGGTAAAGGCACGCCTAATCTACACATCAGTAACAAACACGTGTGACAGGTCCTCTGTTGCCTCAAAGCCCAGCCAGGTAATCACGTTCAGCCTGTGATAAAGCAATCGATGATGTGCTTACACATTTATCTCCTAGCAAGTGTATTTTTTCGGCTTCAATAATTTCTCGGGTAAGCTGGTCCCTGTGCCTTGCCAATATTGAGCACTGATCAAAGAGAGGGGTGCACCCACAATCTCGGCAATGAATGCCAAGATGCCCTTGTACCACATTGTGCACATTGTTTCGGTGTTCTCGGAGGCGGTCATTTATGCACCTGCCGGTTTGCCCGACATAGATGCACCCACACGTCAGTGGAATGAAGTAAACGACTCCCACTGCGCATGGGATGTAGCGTGTCCTGTGCGCGACAGAGCACGAGGCAGAATTTGCACGAGGTGCATTGACCCGTTTGCAAAGCCGCTGCAATTTTTCCGGGGCAGAAAAAACCACAAAAACGTTGCCGTCTCGAGCAATCTTTTTTAGCCTGTGTGATACGTCGTGCACGTAAGGCAGTACGACAGGCCGGCTCTTTCTGACACTGTTTCGCTTATCCGGTTTGTCGCCTCGCTTCAAGACAGTGACCAGCTTTTCCGCCACCGAAACGAGAACATGCGCGGGGTAACCAGCTTTGGTAAGCCGCTCTACTTGTAGAGCAAAGCTGTGGTGTACCATGTGGGGGCATGACTTCTTTAAGGCATTGACAAGGCAGAGGTTAGCGATGCCCCGCTTGACCAATTTAGAGTGAGCTGAGCTGAAAGGCATGGGTTAGAACCACTAGTTCTAACCCATGAATCACCCACTGATAACAACCTGAAGTTTCTAGATTTGAAGCTTTTGTTAGACTCCCGACATGTTTGCTGGATGTATGAACCAAGAAGCGGCAAGCCTCTTCTGCCTTTCAGTTCAGCTCACTCTAAATTGGTCAAGCGGGGCATCGCTAACCTCTGCCTTGTCAATGCCTTAAAGAAGTCATGCCCCCACATGGTACACCACAACTTTGCTCTACAAGTAGAGCGGCTTACCAAAGCTGGTTACCCCGCGCATGTTCTCGTTTCGGTGGCGGAAAAGCTGGTCACTGTCTTGAAGCGAGGCGACAAACCGGATAAGCGAAACAGTGTCAGAAAGAGCCGGCCTGTCGTACTGCCTTACGTGCACGACGTATCACACAGGCTAAAAAAGATTGCTCGAGACGGCAACGTTTTTGTGGTTTTTTCTGCCCCGGAAAAATTGCAGCGGCTTTGCAAACGGGTCAATGCACCTCGTGCAAATTCTGCCTCGTGCTCTGTCGCGCACAGGACACGCTATATCCCATGCGCAGTGGGAGTCGTTTACTTCATTCCACTGACGTGTGGGTGCATCTATGTCGGGCAAACCGGCAGGTGCATAAATGACCGCCTCCGAGAACACCGAAACAATGTGCACAATGTGGTACAAGGGCATCTTGGCATTCATTGCCGAGATTGTGGGTGCACCCCTCTCTTTGATCAGTGCTCAATATTGGCAAGGCACAGGGACCAGCTTACCCGAGAAATTATTGAAGCCGAAAAAATACACTTGCTAGGAGATAAATGTGTAAGCACATCATCGATTGCTTTATCACAGGCTGAACGTGATTACCTGGCTGGGCTTTGAGGCAACAGAGGACCTGTCACACGTGTTTGTTACTGATGTGTAGATTAGGCGTGCCTGTACCTTCATGCTCTGTTATCATCCTTTTTAGCAGTATATATTCTTGCCACTCTGTCAAATAAAGTTAGTTGGAAGTCAGCGCTCTTTCTGTCTACCCTGTCCTTTTTCCTTTGTTCGCGCGCTGAAACATCTTGCAAATATGTCTTCTTACTGCCGTACACGAGCGGAAAGGGAAAGATCGGAAAGAAGAGAGAAGAGAACAAGCAGGCTTGCAACGCTAAAATAGGGGCCAGTTGGTGTGACTTCATAACCAATCCACTGCGAACGTAAATGTATAGCTTGACTATCGTTCCGTCCGGTCGACCAGACTTTGGTTCAGCAGACGAAACCAGCAGACGCAATGTTAGGGAAAATATACAGTGCCGAGCCAATGAAAGTTTTAAAGTCTTTATTTCATATTTGTTGTTCAGTCGGGCTCCGCGCGCGTTATTTTTTTCTCCCACTATATATATATATACATATATATATATGTATATATATATATATATATATATATATATATATATATATATATATATATATCATCAAGCGAGTGTCTTCTGTGAATCCAGTGATGAATAGAAATTGGCTTGAGCGGACAAACGGGCGAAAACTTTTATTACTCCTACGTTTCGGCCGGGGTCCGGCCTTCGTCAGGGAATCAAAGGCCGGACCCCGGCCGAAGCGTAGGAGTAATAAAAGTTTTCGCACGTTTGTCCGCTCAAGCCAATTTCTCTCTCTCTCTCTCTCTCTCTATATATATATATATATATATATATATATATATATATATATATATATATATATATATATATGCGTGTGTATCTAGCGAGAAAGAACAAAGAAGGAGAGACAGAAAAAACTGGGTTGGTAACCTATTTACAAGAAATACCAGTACGCTACCCTACACTGGGGAAAAAGATTGGGGAGCTTGAAAGCTGGAAGAGTAAGCCCTGTTGGGACCTGAGTCCTGTGGGTCTCGTCGTTGGTAGCTGGCTCCCATCGGACTCGTCCCTTATAGCGAGAAGCAATGCTTATATGGGAAAACAGAGAACAGACGTTTATTTACATTAGAGAGAGGTCAATAAGAAAATTTAGATATATAGTGGCGTTCTTCGTACATGGCGAGCTCTCCACTCGAAAAAGCACACCGAATGAGCCGTGGGGGCTCATTATAAAGGGTCTGTCCTCCCCAGATCCCTAGATCGGGGACCGCGTACAGAGGGCACCGTCCAATCACGGACCACACATTACCCGCGAGGGTGACGAGCACGCACGGTCCACGCGAACGTTCAAAACTGAAGCGTGGTCACCGCACGGCCATGTGGCACGAACGCGGCTCCCCCCCCGTCAAGGTGTGTCGCTGGGCGAGGGGTCTGAAGTTGATGACTGCATCCATCGAAAGGGCCGCCGTAAACAAGCTTCAAATGGTGCCGAACGATTCGTTCAATTAGCGGGACGATTCCCGGCCGCCGCCGCCGCCGTCATCTTCCAAAGAAGAAGCTGCACCGGTGGTCTCCCGAACTGCTCACGGCGCCGCGGCGGCAGGACGCCGCACCCTCCGGCCAGGTGGGAACAATACATGGCGGACACAGGCCGCCAACCCGTTTGGCGACTCAAAAGGAACATCAAAAGGAACGCCGATCCATTGTCAGACCTGGCGCCGGTCCTAACAGCCTCTCCGCCGGGGAAAGAAGATCCCGAGGTGCAGTGGCCAGCAGGTACTGTGCAGCGGGATCTGTATTGCAGCTTGTCGGCTCTTCCTCTATTACTTTGGTCCCGAACACTGGATCCGATGATCATCGACCAAGAGGGCGTTGCTCGCAGGGATGAGGTGAACCCCTCCACCATATTCTCCGCCCACCACAAACGAGGAACTGCGGAAACTGCGCCGAAAGCACACCCACACACAAGCAAGCACACGGCAATTCTCTACTCAGAATCACCAGACTCAGATTCACCTGTGGAAGTCATTTCCTTCTACCTCAACTTTATTCCTGTGGCCCCCGCCGAGTCGCAACACCACATCAGCCACTTTTGAAGACATTAAACAAAACACTTGACACATGATTGGATAAATACAGAAAACTAGTGGGCCTCAAATCGAGGATAGAAAGCAGAAAATCGTTTTGAAGCCCTCGGGGTACTAGGGACAACGACTCAGACCATCTGCGTTGCTGTTGAGTTTACCCTTCTTGTAATGGATATCAAAGGTGTATTGTTGAAGAGCTAAGCTCCAGCGCAAAAGACGGCCGTTTTTCGATGACATGGACTGTAGCCATGTGAGGGGACAGTGGTCAGTCTCTATTGTGAACCTAGAACCGGCGATGTAACAAGCTAGCTTCTGCACAGCCCAAACAACGCAGGCACATTCCTTTTCTGAGGCACTGTATGCTTCCTCACGAACAGAAAGCTTTCTACTGGCATACAGTACAGGGTGTTCCTGGTCGTTCTCTCCCCTCTGACAAAGCACGACACCCATACCCCGGTCGCTGGCGTCACACTGAAGAATGAACGGCTTAGAGTAGTCAGGCGCGCTCAATACTGGCTGACTTTTTAGTGCCTTCTTTAGCGTAGAAAATGCATGTTCCTTGGCCCCATCCCATTTTACGGTCTGGGGTTCAGTCTTTCTAAGAGCGTCTGTCAAGGAACTTGCAATGTCAGAGTAACGCGGGATATACCTTTGATAATAACCGGCCAATCCAAGAAACGACCGAATGTCTTTCTTGGTTCGTGGTTGGGGAAAGTTGTCTATTGCGGCCAGCTTTACTTCTGACGGCCGGCGGTAGCCTTGGCCTATTACATGCCCTAGATAAGCTACCTCAGCGCGCCCCAATTGGCATTTCGCAACCTTCACTGTTAAGCCGGCCTCACGCAGACGACATAGCACAGCTCGCAAGTGTTTCATGTGGTCTATCCAGGAAGAAGAAAAAATAGCAATATCATCTAGGTACGGGAGGGCAAAGTCCTCCATACCCTGTAACACTTTGTCCATTAG